CCGACGTTCGATTAGGTATCATTTAGTGTGGACATAGGCAAACTGTCTGGATATCGCATAACGTTATTTTTTTCCTTTTCTTCTTGTATCTGTAAAGGTCTTTATAGGTTAAGAGGCACATCGGTTGTAAATTTTAAAATTAGTTACTGATTTACTTAATTACAAAATTTTATTACTTATATCTTATAAAGATTGATGTATATCCGTTGGTATTCTGACATGTTTTTGTTCAACCCAGCAAAGTGGTGCTATTCTGCATCCATCCGCTGCAAGGGGTGAACCGTTATGGAGCTTTGACTGCTTAAACGGTCCTCCAGTCTACCAGAGGCAACGGGAAGGCTCCGCCGTGCAAATCCGCAAAAGTGACAGGAGATAACTACTGATTTATTATAGAAATCCAAAAATGTGCTCTAGATTGACTTAAGCTGGAAGTATTTATTCAGCTTTGTTGAAAAGGATGGGTGTTCAAATCCAAGAGCGCGGTAAAATATTCATGGCCATTTCCTTGAGCAAGGAATTGTCCACTGTAAAACTCTGGTGTTGTAAGATAAAAAACTTGTCGTGAGTCAGTGATTGTGATCAGCTATGCCCCACCTGATGGCCGATTAAAAATCAGCACGAGGTGTAATTCATATTCAGAAATAACTGAAAAGTAAAAATGTGTCGATGACCTCCTATCACACGTTAATAACTGATTTTATTTTTCTGTTTTGTATTAAATTTTTCAGTGTCACTAGTAATGACCACTAATCACTAGAGTACTATCGCTTTTAGAGCACAGTCACGCTGGAATGCTCGGTTTCGGACAACCCAGTCACTTGGCACAAATAGGTATATCCGTCGAGCCGCTGCATATGTTCATGTCAATGACGCCGGCTTCCGGCACCACTCCTCAACTGGTTGACTCGTTTACTCAGTTTTCGCAAAAAATGCTAGAAAATTTCTGCAACTTTGCCTCCTCGTTTGCCGTGAGCGCCAGCAGTGGAACGCTGAACCCTTCCGAAAGTTACGTCCCAATGTCGTGTGTGCAGAAATGGTATGAGAATTTCGTCCGACGAATGTCTCTGGATCCAAACTTTTGGCGTACCTGACGTTTTTAAAATAAATTTTTGCTCCTGTCGTGCTCCATTGTTAAACGTTCATTCTGATGTCTTTTATACTTTTATTATTTAGACAAATTTCTAGTGACTTTCTTAATTTGATTTGCATATTGCTCGTGGTTTGATAATCACAGTCAAAAACGCATTCTAAAAGCAAGTTGTATGCATCAGTAAAACTCTGACACTGATATTCAGTGATACGTCCGAATTTGAAGACTTCAGAATTAGAGGCTGACTTGACAACTTTCTCACTGTGTACTTCTTAGCTACACTGCTGTTATATTTTCTAGATATGGTGTCTCTTCTGTATTAGGCGCACGACACCCCCAACCAAACAGCCACTTTTCGCTATTCTTGCGGACTATCTGTGGTTTTGAATATTTACGAAGATTTTTCCTTATCAGAAGACAGGTATCTAAGCTCTGTTGGTCGGATGCTTAAAGTAATCGAGTTCTACGCCGGAATCGGTGGAATGAAGCTGGCTTTGAAAGGTTTGTGAAAAGTAGTCTAAGCGACTGTGTTTTGAGGAAAGGCGATTGTTTAAGGTGCGAGTTCAATTTAGAACAGAAGTGGAAAAATTCCCATCATTTTTAGTCTACAAAAAACCATTCCATGTTAATTGTACATCAGGTCTTGTATTGGTATTTCATGTGCATTTCTGCCATGGACGAAAGATTCGCTATCTCCCTTCGTATTAATTCCCAACTAAAGTAAGTGAAATAGTTTTTCCAAAATTGCTCTCTGAGTGGAAGATTATGACTTATAAGTATGACAAATGGAAGATCCGAAAACTACTTCGTGGAATACAGTACGAATCGTTGAAAGACGTTTCACCATCCTCTTCGTTGAATTGTAAAAATGCGGCATATCTAAGGAAATAACTTTACCGAGAATTTTGTGCTATCATTTTTCCTAGATTTGAATTTCCAAATGGCAAATATATTCTAAATGACCACCCGCCGCCTCTGAGATGTTAAGGTGGGCAGTGCCATAGTCTTTTAAGGATAACTCTGGATGCCTTCTTACCAAGGAAGAAAACATTCGCCACCTATAACGAGAGAACCTTGAGAAACTCTGAGCAACGGTAGGAATACTCGCCTGAAAGGCAGCAGGCAAGGGAACTTAGTCATTCAATACATGAAATCAGAAGCTGCAAAAAGCTTGAAAAATAATGAGGTTTCTAGACTTGATGATGTCCGCCCTGAAATGCCTGAAGTTTTAAAAGTACATACGTCATGCTGTGGCTAGCGTTTGTTAAATGGCTGCGGAGAAGATAGTAGTGAACTGGAGAATTGAGGTCGTAGTGCCCCTGTTCAAGAAAGAGTACCATAGGAAATGCTCCATTTATCGGGGTATTGCCGTATTGAGCCTCCCGGGAATAGTCTGCGCAAGGGTGTTTGAAGGGATATACTTCGGAATAACTAAGATACAATAAAGAACACTGTGGCTACATTCCAGGTCGAAGTAACTTATACCAGATCTGTCTTAGGCCAGATTGTTGAGAAGTCCTAGGAATTGGTTCATTCGGTTTATATGCTCCTTGTTAGCTTGGAGAAAGCCACTGATCAGATTTTGCGCAGCAAGCTGCAGGCATATCTACAAGCGTATTGGATTGATGACCAGTGACTGCGAGCCATCCTGTACTAAATGTTGATAGAAGTGGCTGCCTTGGAGTAAATTGGGTTAAGTCGAGACCTCTCAAGGTTGACACTGGTCACCGCTACAGCTGCGTTCTGCCCTCCCCTGTTTATGTTGTAGATTTATAGAATAGTCAGGCACAGTCAAGTATATCAGCGTACGAGATGTCGAGACTAGAAAATCGCTGTCTGCAGGCGACGTTGTTTTGTTATCATTTTCTGAAAATGGTCTGCAGCGCTCTGAAAATGATCGCATCCGAGTTAGACTTAGCTAGTATGCATGTGAACGTGTCTTAAACGAAAAGCCTTGTGCTTTCTGGTTCTCTTTCCTACTGCGCTCTACAGGTGAAGGGAGAAGTGGTGGAGCGAGTGTGAAAGTTCACATACCTCAGGGTCGTATCATCTGGTAATTGAAAATTGGAGGAAGTGATCGATCGGCATATTGGGATGTTCAGCGGCATCATATGTAAACTGGCCGAAAGTTCTGGGCTCTAAAAACCACACTTTCTGTGTTCAAGTCGATCTTTATTCCTGTATTGATCAGCGGTCATGAATCGCTAGCCATGACAAAAAATTCCGGGTACAAGCGGCTGAAATGGGGTTTCCGAGACGAGTCACCGTCCTTACTCGTCTGGACATGGTTCGTTGTACAGAA